AGAAGAGCCTTGACGTGCCTACAAACCTTGGCCTCTGTTTTCCTCTCCTTGAAATGGGAGCATGACCTGTGTCCTCATGAGAAGGCTGAGGTTCACGTGCTTAGAGTTCTCTGAAGCCGGGGAGATCGGTAATCCTGAGTGCGCAGGCCCTTGGATGGCAAGAGAGGAACACAGGCACCAGAAGTAGGATTTGGCGAGAAGCAGAGAGCCAGGAACCGCTGACTTTCCACTTCCTCCTCTGTTGGGACACCGCCCCGCACCGAGCCCTGGGCAGCCTGCCATGACTGGGGCCCTGCGGGCATGCCATGCCTGGAGCTGAGGTCGGGGAGGCTTTTCTCTGTGGAGAAGATGGCGTGGGTTGGGAGGAAGCTGCTATCAGACAGCAGGCCAGAGAGGCTGGAGCTGTTCCTGGACCCTTCCGCTGCACTGTCCCGAAAGCTCCAAGGTCTGGGGCTGGGTCTCCCCCTCACCGTTCCTCTGTCTCAAATATAACAGGCTCCTCTGGGCTCTTTTTTTTCCTTTTTTTTAAGCAGATCATTCTTTTAAAATTAGTTATTTCTGGCTGCGCTGGGTCTTCCATGCTGTGTGCGGACTTTCTCTAGTTGCAGCGAGCAGGGGCTACTGTTGGTTGTGCGCAAGTTTCTCATTTCTGTGGCTTCTCTTGTGGAACATGGGCTCTGGGCTCTGGGCTCAGGAGTTTCCGCTCCCGGGCTCTAGAGCACAGGCTCAGTAGTTGAGGTGCATAGGCTTAGTTGCTCCACGGCACGTGGGCTGTCCCGGGCCAGGGATCGAACCCATGTGCCTTGCCTTAGCATGCAGATTCTTAACCAGTGGACCACCAGGGAAGTCTTAACCATTTCTTTTTTTAAGTCCTTATTGAATTTGTTACAATATCATTTCTGTTTTATTTTTTTGTTTTTGTTTTTTGCCCCAAGGCATGTGGGATTTTAGCCCCATGACCAGGGATTGAACCTGCACCCCCAGAGATTGAACCTGTACCCCCTACAATGGAAGGTGAAATCTTAGCCACTGGACCACCAGGGAAGTCCCCAGGCTCTTTTAAGGAGGCCCAAATTACTCGGGATTACCCAAAGCCAGTTTTAGCCAGAAATCACTGTCCTTCCTGCCCGGGACAGTTTGAGTCCACTACATTCCAACCAGTGAGGCAATGGGGCTGGAAACACAACCTGATTTCCTACTCACCTGAGGGGATTAGAACCAGGAAGGGTAGCGCTGCTATTTTTAGAGATTCACATATTGTGCTCTAACCTCAAATACAAAAGAGCTTTCGTAGCCTACTTACTATTGTTCCTGCTCTTCAGCGTGGCAATGGGAAGTCAGGGGCACACGTCACAATAATAACAACAGCCAGCCTTTAGTGAGAATTACCGTGCCGGGCAGTGCAGTGTTAGACTTAATAGTTCATTGAATCTGCACAAACATTCTTCTCTGCTACCTCTAGATTTACACATGGGGAATCTGAAGCTCAGAGAGGTTAAGCAGCTTGCCCCAGATCACACAACTTATAAGTGATGAAGCAGGAATTTGAACCATAAGTAGGCTTAGACTGTAAAGAATCTACCTGCAGTGCAGTAGACTTGGGTTCGATCCCTGGTTCGGGATGATCCCCTGGAGAAGGGAATGGCTACCCACTCCAGTAGTTTTGCCTGGAGAATCCCATGGACAGAGGAGCCTGGGGACCTACAGTTCATGGGGTCACAGGAGTCAGACACAACTGAGCAACTAACACACAGACACAGCCCAGGTCCAAGCCCCCAGTCTTAACTGCCATGCACCCTCCTGTCTTAGAGTGAAATGCCCTTCCAAAGAGAAGGGGATGAAAATTTGCAAGGGGTGACAGGAGGCTGGGAGATGGAATTTTTAGCAATTCCCACAATGAACAGGGCTTCCCCGGTGGCTCAGCCATAAAGAATCTGATTGTAATGCAGGGGACACAGGTTCAATCCCTGGGTTGGGAAGATCCCCTGGAGGAGGAAGTGGCAACCCACTCCAGTATTCTTGCCTGGAGAATTCCATGGACAGAGGAGCCTGGTGGGCTATGGTCAGTCCATGGGGTTGCAAAGAGTCAGACACGACTTAATGACTTTACCATCATCACAGTGAACAGAGACTGCTCCAGGCTTTGTGTGGCACTGGAATGGAGAGCGGGTAAGAAAGAAACACAGATGTGACAACTGGAGCCAGAGAGAGGCTAGGGCTGGAGCATCGCGCCTGGACCCTCCTTCCAGGCTCCATTATCACTTCTTCCGACTCTGACTCAGCCCCTCCCAGAGGCTGCCACTCGGCCACCCCCACCCAACCGTGTCCCCAGGACCACCGCTCCTCAGGGACCCTGGTACCAGGATGGAGTACCCACCCCACCAGACTCCCAACCAATTTCTCTCCCCCCTCTTAATACCCCAGCTCCCCAAGTCAGGCTGTTTCTCTGCCTTGCCAGCTGAGAACGCGTGTGTTTTAAAGCTCTGAATGGGCCATTTCGGCTCGGAGTCCAGATGCATTTTTATATCTGTGTGGGAAAAAAAATGCAGAGGCTCGGCTGGCAGTCAGAAAGAGTTTTTAAATTAACGTGTTTTTTTTTAAAAGAAAAGTTTCCCGCACCTGGCCCCTCTCAGAAAAGCACAGAGAAGAGCAAAAGCATTTCTTTAACTTGGCCTCACCCACATTTAATTTTTAAGAGATAACATGTCCCACCCACCTCGCCCAGGTACTTTTCAGATGCAGCTGTCTATCAAATACCTACTCTGTGCCACCCTTGGGGTTCGTGCTATGTAAATCTCACAAGTAACCCCATTTTACAGGTAAGGAAACAGGCTCATCATGGGGCAGTTGGCTTACCCAGGGTCACGCTTGTCTTCCTAGGCTGCCGTGGCTTAAAACAGCAGAAATGTCTTCTCTCATTGTGGGTGCTTGCCAAGTCGCTTCAGTCGTGTCCAACTCTGCGACCCCCATGGACTGTATAGCCTGCCAGGCTTCTCTGTCCATGGGATTCCCCAGGCAAAAATACTGGAGTGAATTGCCATGCCCTCCTTCAGGGATCTTCCTGACTCAAAGATTGAACTCGCATCTTTTATGTCTCCTACATTGGCAGAAGGGTTCTTTATCACTAGTGCCACCTGGGAAGCCCTCTTGCAGTCAAGGCCAGGTATCCGAGATTAGGGTGCAGAAGTGTTGGTTTCTTCTCTGGAAATCTCTGTTCCATGGCCTCTCCTAGCTTCTAGTGACAGCCAGCATTCCTTGGCTTGTGGACACCATTCCAACCTCGGTCCTCACAGGCATTTACCCTGTGTCTTCCCATGGCCATCTCTTGTAAGAACGCCAGTCACACTGGATCAGGGGCCCACCCTGCTCCACCATGTCCTTGCCTTAATTTAACTGCAGCTGCAAAGACCCTCTTTGCAAATAAAGTCACAGCCTGATGGGACGTGGAGGGGGTGGGGGTGCCCGTGTCAGGGCTAGGATTTCCATGTATCTTCTTTGCGACAGGGATCCAATCCAACCCATAACCATCACAGTACAGATGAGGTTAGAGAGGGCTTGATCCCAGTCCAGACCACTCCCGGGTACACGCTGCCTCCTCACAGCATCAGAGAAGCCAGAGGGACACTCCCCCCATAGCATCTCTTCTCGTAGCAGATGGCGCTGACTGCTACCCGGAAGCAGAAAGCAAGACATTGCTGCCAGCCGCTACTGCTCCCCGGTGCTGACAGTACCCAGGGACCCTCTTCAAACTCAGGGCTAACCCAAGGCCCTTTTGCCTAGAGGTAAAAAAAATCAGAGCTGTCTGTGGTGGCAACACCACCTCCAGAAGAGCTAGCATCTATTGAGCACTTGCTGTGTGCCCCCAGGCTGTTCTGGGCACTTTGCGGGTTAACGCTACTCTAGAACCCTAGAGGAGGGTGCTGCTAAAACACACATTTTACAGATGAGGAAACTGAGGCCAGGGAGGTTTCTTTAGCCCAAGACCCTGAGGCTAGGAAGTGCAGAACCCACCCTGCCCAGGCAGAGTGGCCTCAGAGCCCAAGCTCCTGGCCACCAAGCACCACCAGCCTCTGTGTACATCAGGGGTGTTTTGGGAAGGGCCCCAGCACAGAGCCATTTAGCTCTAGACCAGGTGATACTGAAAACGGAACCCGCCAGTGCCGTACAATTCCATTTATATGAGGTCTTCAGAACAGGCAAATCTGCAGAGCTGGAAAGTAGACTAGTGTTTGCTGGGGGTCCCGGGGGATGGGGAGTGGCTGCCAGAGGGTCCACAGTTCCTTTTGGGGTGATAATGGTTCACTGAGCTCTAAATGTCTGTGTCCATCACTGTTCTAAAATGTCTGGAGATGATCACATGGCTGTGAATAGACTAAAAGCCGTTGCATTGGAGATGGGTGACTCGGGTGGTAGGTGAGTTATATCTCAGTAAAACTGTTACAAAACAAAAATCAAAAAGAGGGAAGTAGGCAGTGTGCAGGGGAGGGTCGGGAAGAGTGGAAAGCAGGAGGGGGAAGAGCTGGGTGGATGCTGGGGCCCCCAGGCGTGGTTCTGCAGAGGGCAGCAGAGAGCCGGGGGACGGAACCCCCAGGGCCGGCGGAGGACGTGTCTGCCACCCAGTGTAAGCAAGGGGCCCGTGTGCTTGTCATCGAGGGGCCAGACCAGCTCGGCCTCCTCAAGAGGCGCTGCCCCAGGAGGAAGGCCAGCCGACTAACAGGCTCACTGTCCCCAGACGGGCTGTTACCCAGGAGGGGAGCCGGCCACCTGGCCCAGGCACCAATCATAGGCCGGGACAGCGGCTGTTGTGACCACCCTGCCACTTGTAGCTGCGTCCCTGGTCACATAACCCCTTAGTGGAAGAGGAGGGCCCAGTGCCTCCTCACATCCCCACCGGGGAGCGGGTGTCCCGGGGCCAGACCTGGCCTTCAGATGTGCGGTGCCAGCGGGCAGGCGGCCAGGCTGCAGGGAGGTCTCTGCTCACGCGCTGTGTCTCTCTCCAGAGAGCCTTCAATGCCCTGTGTCACAGCACCCACCTGTACGGCCGGAGGCTGGTGCTGGAGTGGGCTGACTCGGAGGTGAGCCTGCAGGCCCTGCGGCGCAAGACAGCCGAGCACTTCCACGGTAAGAGGACTGCGGGGGGCCAGGCGCCTGGTCCCCCCCGCCCCTCCATGTCTTCTACACCTGCTCTCCGTATTCCTTCTGCCTCTCCGAGCCAGTGGGGAGTGCTGACGTCTGCAGATGGCATCGGTGGCCTCCACACCCGTGGTGTTTCCCTGTCTAGTCCGGTCATTGGGAGGCCTGGCAGGAAGTCAGGGAGACGAGGCGCCTGGATCAGGGTGGTCATCCTCACCGCCACCTCCCTTCCTGTCCGGCTGCTGCCGGCTGGCTGTCACTGCCACCAAAGGCCACAGCTCCCGTCCAGTGGCCCTCTCCACCCAGCAAGTGCTCTGTCCAGAGGCCAAGCCAGGGGCCCCTCGGCCCGATTTTCCTGCAGCCAATACCCCTTTACTTGTCCCTCCTCAGTTACCTGGTTAAAGCACCATGCACTTCCTGCCAGGACCCTGGTGGTCCCAGGCCCAAGCCCCGCCTCTCATGCACCTTGGTGGTATCACCCGGCCTCACCGATGACTCAGCCCCCGCCCCCCGCTAATTATCAGTGAGCCCCTGCCGTGTCCCAGCGCCGGGAGTGCGGCAGTGACCTGGGGTTGAGGGGGTTGGGTCCAGGTGGAAGGTGCTGGATCCAGAAAGGCCTCCCGGCAGAGGTGACGCTTGTGCCCACAGAAGGGCTGCCCGAGGTTGTTGTGAGTGTGACACATGGAGAGACAGGGCAGCCAGCATGGCGGGAGCAGGTGGAAAGGATGACTGGGGGGGCTTACACAAACCTCGCCTTCTCCGGCACGTTGTCCAGAAGTGGAATGGAAGCCCTATGATTGTAGCGCCGCCCACCAGACTCTTTAGCACACACCCCACTGCCAACCCCAGGGGCCTCTCCCGCCTAATCCTTCCCCACCACACCTCCCTCAGAGGTCACCGTCCCCAGATGCCCAGCAGGACACTGTCTCTGCATATGCTGTTCCCTCTGCTCACAATGCCTTGCCTCGACTTTTTTTTTTCATCCTGGTCAGTGCCTATCCAGCCTTTAAGGCCCAGTGCAAAGGACATCTCCTCCAGGAAGCCTTCCCTTTCCCCGCTCCCGAGGTTATCAGTAGTGGCTCTGTCCTCTACTCTTTCCACCTGTGTTCCTATATCTCCTTGCCGCATTGTCGTGTATTTCTTTACGATTCTTGTCGCTGGAGTGGCGCCTTTCCCATGGAGACTGCACCACCGGACTCTGTCAGGACTTTGTCACTGATGGGTTGATCTCTGAGCCCCCATGCCAGCCAGGGCCCGTCTGAGACTGGGGAATCCATAAGTAAAGGCAAACGAGAAACCAGAGACGTTAGGGCTAAGTACACAGCCACAAGCACACAACTCAATAAGTCCCCAAATCCTATCTTTATCGACAGCCATTGACAGGCCCAAATGCACCCATTGGCAAATGTTTGTGTAAGGGACTCTCCCATCCCCCCCACCTCCCCTCCCTGGGGCCAGCAGGCGAGTGCAGGCTCAGCAGTCCTGCCCTGCCTCAGAGAGCAGCCCCCTTCAATAGATTGATCTCCAAAGACAGCATTATTGCCTCCCCCCAAAAGAAAGCTGCAGCAGAAGCGCTTCTGTGAGATTGGCCATCTCCCCAGGTCAACTGCAGGCTGAGGCCCATTCAGGGGCAGGTATTAGGTGGGCCAGAAAGTTGGTTTGGGGGACTTGCCTGGTGGTCCAGTGGTTAAGAATCCACCTGCCAATGCAGAGGACATGGGTTCAATACCTGGTCTGGGAACTTAGGTCCCACATGCCCCGGGGCAACTAAGACCACGCACCACAGCTGCTGAGCCCACGCCCTAGCAGCTGTGCTCCGCGACAAGAGAAGCCCCCTCAATGAAAAACCCGAGTACCACAACTAGAGAGTAGCCCCCACTTGCTGCAACTAGAGAAAAAGGCCATGCGCAGCCACCAAGACCCAGCGCAGCCAAAAATAAATAAATTTTTTTAAACAGTTCATTCACGAACTGTCTTTTGAAAAAAACCTGACGATGGTTTGGAAAAGATGGTATGGAAAAAAAACTAAATGAACTCTCTGGCCAACCTAATGCAATAATAGCAGGAAAAATGGCAGTGGTTTTGCATGCATCTTCCCGTTCATGAACTCACAGCGCTGTGCAGTGGCTGTGATCAGCCCCATTTTGCAGGTGACAGAACTGAGAGCAACTGAGCGTAGAGGGACCCGTGACAGCTACTGTGTATTAATAATAAGGACTCCCTCCGCTGGGGCATCATCTGTATGTGACAGGCATCGTCTCATCCTCACAGCAGCCCTTGCTGCTGTGGGTGCTGCTGTCCCCAGCTTGTTGTTCAGTCGCTAAGTCATGTCGACCACATGGACTCCAGCACGCCAGCCTTCCCTGTCCTTAACTGTCTCTTGGAGTTTGCTCAGACTCATGTCCAGTGAGTCAGTGATGCCATCCAACCTTCTCATCCTCTGTTGTCCCCTTCTCCTCTTGGCCCTCAATCTTTCCCAGCATCAGGGTCTTTTCCATTGAGTCAGTTCTTTGCATCCGGTGGCCAAAGTATTCATCTTACAGATAAAGAAACTGAGGCATGGAGAGGTGCAGCTGAGCGCCTCCTAGCCGAGCGTCCTGGGACAAGTCACTGCACCCCTGAGGCTTCTGTCTCCCATTCCACAGATGAGGATGTGAATAGTTCCCCTGTATGGAGTCATGACCTGATCGGTGATAACAAGGACAGCACAGGGTGCCTTTTTTTCCCACCCACACAGCATGCCTAGAACATTATTGTTTAGTAGCTCAGTTGTGTCTGACTCTTGCGACCTCATGGTCTGTAGCCCACCAGGCTCCTCTGTCCATGGGATTTCCCAGACAAGAATACTGGAGTGGGTTGCCATTTCCTACACCAGGGGATCTTCCCGACCCAGGGATCGAATCCGTGTCTCCTGCACTGGCAGGCAGATTCTTTACTGCTGAGCCACCAGGGGTAGATGCCCTCAATCACCCCGTTTTACAGATGAAGACAGAACTTGCCCAGGGTCACGCAGATAGTAGGGGGTGGAAGCAGAGTTTGCACTCTCGGACAGCCTAGCTATAGCACCCCATCCTTGGGATGACACCCCCTCCATCCCTCCCCAGTAGGCAGAACGCCGTGGGGGAAGCAGGACAGACACGTCAGCCAGAAACCGGTGCTCTGAAAATGCCAGCCCTCTCACCCACCCGCCCATTGTCTGCTGGATCTCCTTGGGAACAGGGGTACCCGCGGCAGCCCTGAATACTCAGAATAGGGCTGCTGCCTTCCAGCCCTCCTGGCTGCACCCTTTTCCCAGCTCTGCCCCTTCCCCATGGCGAAAAGTACCCAGCTCATTTGTGTCAAAATCCGCATTGTTCAGAGCTTCCAGGGGCCTGGCAGACTCCGAGGGCAGGTGGGATCCATGCCCAGTTCCTCCCCCCGGGCCCCGATCTGTGCCAGGAAGGCACTCAGATCTCAGGTGGAGGCCCCAAGCCCCATTTGCCCAACCCGAGCACCGAGGCCATGACAAAGGGCTCCCTGGGTAAGCTGGGCCTCGGAATGAAAGGCCGGCGTCTTAACCATTCGGTGGGACCCGGCAGAGAGCTCACTGGTGACACCGTGGCCTCTGAGCTGGCCTCAGGGCCAGTGGGAGGTAGCCAGAGTGATGGAGAGGCCCCCCATTATGGCTGGTGCAGTCAGCATGCATTACCCCGAGTTCATCCTCACCTCTGGGGCTCAGCTCATCTACCAGGCCTGCCGCTCCCCTGGGGGAGGCTGTGGGGACAGGTTGCTGCCAGGCCGAGGGCCCCCCAGGCCCTGTGACCAGCCCTTCTCTCCCCCATCAGTCCCTGACAAGCCGAAGTCAAGGCACACAGCTCCACGTGCAGTTCAGGCCGAGTAATACTCATTACTGTTACTATTCCCATGACAACCTTCATCTGTTAAGCCTCACTCTGTGCCAGGTACTGTCTATGGGCTTTCACAGGTATTAATCCTGCAGAATCCTGGCAGGTAAACACCGTCATTATCCCCCATTTCCCAGATGAGGAAACTGAGGCCCAGAGAGGGCCAGTGACCTAGTGGCCCAGTCAGGAGTCAGAGCTGGGCCTCTAGCCATCCTGCCGGCTGCACGTGAGCAGCTGTGTGTACGGCCCCTTATGTTTCACCCTAGTCTGTGCCGTGACCTCGGACAGGCTGCTCCGCCTCGGTTTGGCATCTGTACAGTGGGACTAGGGTGCTACTTCGTAGGGGGGTCCTGGGGCGGGGCTTACAGGAGATGATGCTTCTGAAGCTGTGGGTGCCCAGTGAGAAGGCAGCAGATACTGTGTTTTCTCCCCTCCCCTGCCAGGTGCTTACACTTCCTGTTTTCCTTGCATTCCCGTGGAGCCAGGCCAAGAGAGGATGCTCTCTGGGCAGAGGAAAGAGACTTAAAGAGGAGTCCTAGTTTCTAGAAGCCTGGACAACAGGGAATGTGTGAGAGAGAGGGAGGGAAGGAGAGGGGATGAGAATGAAAACGCCCGTCAGCTGGGCAGGGCACAGGATGGTGCGTTTGCATCTGACCCTGGATGCCACCTGGTCCCCACGCCTGGCACACAGAAGGTGCATCCCAGTGCACGGTAACAAAGAGGAGGAGATGGATTCTTCGCTGATAAAAGTTGGTGCGGTCTTGCCATCCGATGCAGTCCTAGGAACTAGATGCCCTCAGCCCCCCTGTCTCAATCTCGCCACTTAACTAGGGTCCCTTATTGGCAGCCACAGAAGCTCAGAGCAAACCCCCCAGCGCCCCTTCCCCAAGGCAGAGATGGGCAGTCTTCATTTCATCCACTGGTGTCCCTGATCATGTGGGGCATTAGATAGTCCCTGGTGAGCTGACACTTAAGCAAACACCCATCAAATGGACTGGCCGAGAGCAGGTCTTTGAAAGTCATTGGAAAAGCTGCCCCGAGGAGGCAAAGCCCTTGACCCCAGACAGCAACGCTCGTGCCCAGGGACGAACACAACCACCCCGT